CGGGGCCCTCGGTGAGCTCAAAGCCCTCATCTCTTCCCAGTGGTAACGGGGAGAGCAGGAATCTGCCTTCTTTGTGGAGCTGGGGAAGGAGAGAAGCTAATTTGCTGGAAGGACATAATTCACTTGGGTCAGACACCCCCTGCCCTCAGCTTTCTCCTTTCCCAGCAGAGCAGCTCTGAGCAGCCCTGACTCTGGGCCTGGTAACCATTTCCATGTGAAGAGAGAGAACACACAGTCACCGTGGGTCGGCATCCAAAAATTCCTTCTAAACATGGGTAGATGAAGGGCCCTCCTCCCGCCCTGCTGTGCCCCCCAACTCCTGTTTGGCATACACACCAACCAGTTGTCCTGGCAACGGGCTTTTGCAAGGGGAAGGTGATAGTCCGGCAAACAGCAGCTCTGCCTGGGGGAGGCTAAATTAGCTACCGGCGTGGAGCGGGTGGCTGTCATGGTCGTGTGCATGGGCACTCACTGCAGTTTTGTGTGCACCCTTTGCAGCCTCAGATTGAGACTCCCCTTGATGCCTGCCTAAGAGTGTGCAGGGTAATCCAGGGCCCACAGGCGGTGTGGAGGGGGACATTCTAGCATTCCTCTCCCTCTTCCATCTGACCAGCCCTCAGTCCTACCACAACCAGATGTGTTGGTTTTTTGAGACAGGGTCTTGCTTACATGTGTAGTCCAGGCTAGCCTCAAACTCATGATCCTCCTGCCTCAGTCTCCCAGTGCCAGAACCAGATGTGTTTGTTTTGCAGATTGAGTTGCATCACTTTGAAAGGGCTTTTTGAGGCCGTAGTTTCCAGCCTGGAGTTTCAAACTAAATCCCCGTGTTATATCTTACCAACAGCCACCCCATCCCCCCTCAGACAGCTGAGAGATTGGAGCTTACTGCTCTATAAGCAGATCCTTATTAAGGACAAAGCTGTTAACACATTATGGCCCCAACTCTGTCATCCATATTTTCTCCCCTCTCGGTCCACCATCTTTACAGTCTGTAGTGACAAAGATTGGTCTGTTCCCGCTTCAGAGCCCTGCAGGCTCCCAGGTCCCCTCCCACACACCCAGGCTTGGATGTCCCCATTTCTTTCCTCTGCATTCTGTGGTCAGGATGTTCAAACCTTTTAGGTGGAAAAAATGCCTTGTCCATGGCTCTTTCAAACTCCAGTGTTCTTGCTGGGTGTAGTGGCACACACCTGTAATCCCAGGGAGGCTGAGGCAGGAGGATCAGCAAGAGTTAAAGGCCAGCCTGGGCTACATAGCAAGACCCTGTCTCAAAGAGAGAGGGAAGGAGGGAGGGAGAAAAGGAGGGAGGGAGGGAAGGGAGGGAGGAAGAATTTTCGGTGTCTTAAATTAAACTCAGCCTTGGCGGCGGATACAGCTAGGTGGCACAGCACCTGCCTGGCAAGCATGAGGTCCTGAGTTCAATTTCCAGTACCCAAAATTAATTAATTAATTAATTAATTAATTAAACCGAACCTTACCTGTGTGTCGAGACAGAGCAGAGCCTGCACTGCCCCTGCCGCAGGTTGCGGACTTGGGTTGTCGGCTTCATTCTGTAACGAGGTGGGAGTGTCACCCTGACCTGTGCGCCTGTCAGTTTCCATGTTACGCTCCACAGGTGCAGGAAAGCTTCAGGGGTTGTTGTTGCTGTTGTTTTGTGGGGCATTTTCTTGTTTTAGTGATGAGGGTCGAACCCAGGGCACACTACCACTGTACTACATCCCCAGACTTTTTTACATTTTTTTAAAAAACATGGCCTCCCTGTGCTGGTCTCAAACTTGCAATCCTCCTGCCTCAGCCTCCTGAGCAATTAGGATTACAGGTGTGCTCCACCAGACGCGACCACGTTCTTTTTTTTTTTTTTTTTTTTGATACCGGGAATCGAACTCATAACCTTGTGCTTGCCAGGCAGGCACTGCCGCTGAGCTGTATCCCTGGCCCTTGACCACATTCTTGACAAGGGTGAAACCACCTAAAACTCACAAATCTCTTGGTTACAGGAGCTCTTTTAAGTCAGCTCTACCCATTTTGTACCTAGTAAAGTTAATATTTGAACTTACCTGGTTTGCACACTGAAGTAGGAAGAGCACAGGTTGAAAGATCTACAGTACCGTGTGGTAGCATCTGAAAAGCTCATATCTGGGCAGACAGGTTGACACGGGGCAGATAGAGATGCCTGCTGGGTGCCTCAGAGGCCACCTGGGAACACAGGCCCAGCCCCTGGGGGCAGAAGCGCCATCTGAGCGGGCAGGAGCCTGCTGAAAGGATGCTGTTCTCTGTCCTTCCAGCCCAGCTTCCCCTTCAAAGTCAGGTGTGAGACCTGGTCCTTGGTGAGCCCATGCCAGCTTCTGTGATCTCTGATTACAAAGCATCCCAACGGATGGTTTTTAATGATTCCATCAAAAATGTCTGTGCCTGCCATCCCAGGTACTAGGAGGCTGAGGCTGGAGAATCACAAGTTGAAGCCCACCGTGGTTAATTCAGTGACATAGTGAGACATTTTCTCAAAAGGTTTAAAGGGCTGGGTCTGTAGCTCAGTGCAAAGGCACTGGGCTTTTAATCCCTAGTCCTGCAGGGGGAGGGGAAGTAATGTCTAGATTAGTTTCCAGTTAGCACATAACTTCCAGACTATACCTTCCCTCTTTCAGGAAGAGCAGGCCGGCACTGCCTCTCTAGTGTCCTTGCACCGCCGAGGCATGCTGTCATTTTCAGGGTCAGATTGTTGACCCGAGAAGCCTGAGCATTTGAAGTGACTTTGGGTTTTTTCACAAGGGCATGATAGTCCTTTTTTTTTTTTTTTTTGTCTTTTTGAGACAGGGTCTTGCTATGCAGTTCAGGCTGGCCTTGAGCTCACTTTGTAGCCCAGGCTGGTCTCGAACTGGCAACAATCCTCCTGCCTCAGCCTCCCAAGTGCTGGGATTACAGGCATGCGCCACCACACCTGGCTTAAAAGTTTCTTATGTATTACATAGAGACCATTGATTGAAAGAGCTATACTATATCAGAATAGAAATTTGTGGGGGGGTCTTCCTTGAGACAGGGTCTCGCTGTGCAGTTCAGGCTGGCCTTGAGCTCACTTTGTACCTTAGGCTGGCCTCGAACTCGCAACAATCCTCCTGCCTCAGCCTCCCAAGTGCTGGGAGGCGTGCACCCCTGTGCCCAGCTAGAATAGAAATTTAAGTACGCCACAAAAATGTCATCATGATTGTCATGCTACAGTATTATGTATGGTTTTGATTTTAAATTTTCTATGTAAAATTTTTTTTTTTTTAAATGACTTTGGGCCAGGCTTGATGGTGCACACCTGCAATCTCACACTCAGCAGGAGGATTGCCACAAGTTGAAGACCCTGAACTCTACACAGTGAGACCCTGTTTCAAAAAATCAGTCAGTCAATAAAGTGACTTGGTTCTTCCTGCCCTCTGCTCACCCACTGAGTCTGGTCTTCTCTTCCTTCCTTGCCTAAAAATCCTCCCGGATAAAGACAAGCAGAAGCAGATGGAAGCACAGAGCCTCTGACCCCTGAACACTATCTCTCACCCATGCTGTGCTCCTTGTGGTACTGAAGGTTATGACCCCACCTTTGCTTTTCTCTTCCTGCCTGAGGTCATCTTGAATTCTAGCCTCTGGCCATTATACTTTTCTTTTCTTCCTGTTTCTTTTTCTTATTTTTGTTCTATTTTTGAGGCAGGGTCTCACAGTGCAGCTCAGGCTGGCCTCGAACTCGCTGTGTGGCCCAGGCTGGCCTCCAGCTCACAGCGATGCACTACACCTGGCCCTCCCTATCTCTTAAGACAGATTCCGTATTTTTATTTCAACAGTTAGCCCTTACAGTCAGTTCAGTGATGTTGAACACTTCTGCAATCCATATTCTGCTGGGCACCCTGAGAGACACAACATGGGCAGATCGTGTCCCCAGAAAGCTGTAATCGACTGGGTGTGGTGGCACATGCCCATGATTGCAGCGCTCTGGGCGGCTGAGGTAGAAGGATGTGAATTTGAGCCCAGCCTGGGCAACTTAGCATGACCCTGTCTCAAAATTTTACAAGGGCTGAGTATGCAGCTCAGTGGAAGGGCAAGACCCTGGGTTCATTTCCCAGTACAACTAAAAAAAAAAGGTTGTAATCTTGTCAGAGAAGTAATGGGAAAAATGGGGAAATCCACTGCCCGTGACCAGGTGCTCTGGCGAGGCGTGGCCTGGCAATTCCTTCTCCAGCTGCTTTCCTTTTGGGACTCAGCGTACTGATTATGGGGTGGAGCTGACCACCTGGCCTAGGAGGAATGTCCTGGAGACTGAGGTGCTGGCTTCCCACTTCTGTCCCGATGCCCAGCCTCCAGGGTGGGAGGGCATGGGTTCCAAAAACAGAGCAAGTTTCACCCAGATTTTGCCGTGGCTGCCTGTGGGCAAGTTGCCACCTCCCCCAGCCCCAGAGACTGCTGTCACCCCGTGTTGTCAGCCCTCCTGGCAAGGTCTTCTCCCAGTGGCGTGCCAACGTGTGACAGTGTCACGGCTGGGAGGCTTCCCCTGCGACCCCAGCACCCGCCTGGGCAGGTAGCCTGGGCCTGCACCTGCTAGCAGTGGTGTAAAGGCAGAGCAGGCGAGTGAGTTCTCTCCAGTTGGCCCTGGGCGAGCCAGTGCCTGGCCAGAGTGGGCCTTCTGCTGTCCCTGCTGTGGCTGGTGGTGGGGGACGGGTTCTGTTCCTCCCATGGCCGCAGCAGAAAACTCCCCTGGAAATGGGCTGTCAGGGTTTCTGCTGGCTGGGTGGTTCATGGTCTGAAATCGCATTTTTGTGCTGCAGAAGTGGCCTTGTGACACTTGCAGCTGGCTCTGCAAAGCCACCCACCGGCACAGCACAGCGCCGGGCTCTTCGTAAACCTGAGGTTTACGAAGGGAGGTTACGAAGGGAGGTTACGAAGGGAGGTTTACGAAGGGAGGTTACAGGCTTCATTCTCCGGAGCACCTGCTTTCCCTCACTGGAGCAATGCCTGTTTGTCTTTCACAGATGGAAAAAGATGAAACTGTGAGTGACTGCTCCCCACACATAGCCAACATTGGGCGCCTGGTAGAGGTGAGTGGCCTCCAGGCCCCAGTTCGGTGGGGGTCTACTCAGCTCTGCCTGCCTCGGCCTCTGAGCCTTTGGATTTGGCCACACACAAGGCTCGACTGCAGGCGCCACCCCCCAGTGAGCTCCCAGAGGGCTGTGCTCAGCCCTTGGCTCTCGGAAGCGATAAGTCCTGTCTCCCCCAATGCACTGGGTGTGAACACAACGTGGGCTCGGGAAGGAAGCAGATCCCTGGAACAGGGTGGCCTTGGAGCAGCTTCAGTGGAGGCTGCTCGGCCTTGCCTGTCACCACGTTGTTGGGAAGTGGGGAAGCGCTCTCCGGTTTCATGGGATTGTTCACAGAACTGGTGGCCAGGCCAAGGGGGGGAGATGTGGTTTAGACCAGCTCCCAATAATGGTCAGAGTTGGCCGCCAGACCCTAGGTGTTGGCTTCCTCCACGCCTAAGGACGGAAGGGCTCAGAGCCCAAAGGGGAGGGGGAGTCTTGGCAGCTAGGAGCTCGCTCCCAAAGCCGAGCTGCAGCTGTGTGTCTCCCCTCTGTGGTCTCAGCGGGGACTGCAGGGTGAGCGAAGGGCCATTCCTCACTGTTTCCCATCCTGGCTGACCGCCCTCCCTTCCCAGGACATGGAAAATAAAATCAGAAGTACGCTGAATGAAATCTACTTTGGAAAGACAAAGGACATCGTCAATGGGCTGAGGTAATGTACCCGAAGTCAGAAACTTTGAAACCAGAACTACAGGTTTGACTTCTGGCTGTGCTAGTTAATGGCCATGTGGCCTTGGGCCTCAGTTTCCTCATTCATAAAATGGGCCCAAAGTGCTCACCCTCTGGGACTGACAGGTACATCCCCCCCTATAGTATGCTCTCCCATAGCTTCTGGTTCCTGCCACTTCTCACCTGCTCAGCCTTTGCTGCCCTCATCCCTGGAACCCACCTCTCCAGCTTCTCAGGCCCATACAGAGTATCTGCCCAGCTCCTCGGTGCTGGGCCTGAGGGGCCCCACCATCCCCAGGACACCAGAGCGAAGGCCTGGTGCTAGGGCCAGGCCTCCTCTGTGCAGCCCAGCTCCCAGGCAGCACAGTGTGGCCTACAAACAGCCCCTCCAGCCTGCCACCTGCTGCAGAGCACAGGCAGCTCTGCGTCTTAAGGCTGTGGCCGGGGTCCTGAGCTGTCCCTCCCACCCACCTCGGGCCCTGGGTTCTGCATGGCAGCTGAGCAGAAAGCTAAGGGTCTCTAGGGCTTTGGGGTCTGCCGGCGTCTCAGCAGGAAGTAGCTACAGAGTGAGCACTGATCTTGGAGCCCAGAAATCTGGATCTCCTCTCAGCTGTCACCTGAGCCCTCAAGGAGACCTTCCACATGCCCCACAGTGCCCCTTGTCCAGTAGGGGGCGGGGTGCAAGGTTAGGTGGATTAGTGATACCTGCGAAGGATTCTTTGGCCCAGGCCCACTGTGAGTCCAAAGGCCCTGCTGTGCTCTTGGTGGCCAGCTCTAGAGCCCATTCCATGCCCACATCTGGCTGGGCCAGAGGAGAGGAACATGGGACCCTACAGCTGCCCCAGCGTGTATATTTGTCCCGGAGACAGTTGTGAGTTACCTTCTGTATAGTTTTATAAAGAGGATTGTCCTCTGTGGACCTGTGGGGTGACAGCTGAAACCTGGCACCACTGCCAGCCCTGACCTGCACCGGAGGGGCCCTAGGAAGCCTCAGAGCTGCAGTTGCCGTGGTGACCCCCTCCTGCCTCACGTGTCCCTGCCTGTCCCCTGGCAGCCAGCCCCGTGTTCTCACTGCCGTTGCTCCCTCCCTCTGGCTTCACCCTCTCTGAACACTCTCTTAGATCTCTTGACGCTATCCCCGACAACCACAAGTTTAAGCAGTTGCAGAGGGAGCTCTCTCAAGTGCTGACCCAGCGCCAGGTCTACATCCAGCCTGATAACTAAGCTGGCCCAGGTACCCTGCCCGAGAGGCTTGAGATGCCCACTAAACAGGACTCACCAACCCGCCGCGACCCCGCAGGTCCGGTGGCTGCTGTGTGGCCATTTAAACCACCACTAACCCTGTATCTGCTCCTGGCTGGCGAGCAGCCACTCAGACGTGCAGCCTCGGCCCACCTAACACAGACATGTGTCACGTGTGTGGTGTGTGTGCTTTACTCTCTGGGCAGAGGCCAGGCATGGGGAAGATGTGGTTTGGGCTTTTGCTCCCGAAGAAGCCCAGCCCCGGGGACTAACATCGCCTCCCAGCAGAGGCTGCCAGTGTGCACCTGTCAGCTGCCTGGGGAGCGGGGCCTGGACCCTGCCCTCTGCCCTTCGCCTCTGCCCACCCATTCCTCGGGGCTGCCTCTCTGGGTCTGGGGAACACACAGCCAGCTCTTCCTATCTTCAGGGATCCTAGATGCCCAGGAAGCCCTGCCCTAGTGCACCAGGGACCAGCTGACCTGGGAAGGTGGTCTCCTCCTGAGCCTAGGGATGGGGGGTCAGTGTGAAGCTGTGGTCCTTCCTGCTGGCCCATTGCACCTCCAGACTGACTGCTGTGGGAGCTGCCCAGCCCCGTGTGGCCGTCACCCTCATGAGCTGCAGCCAGCATTTGTCTGCTGCGAGCTCTGCTCGGAAGGGAAAACAGTCGTGCTTGTTGACCATAGCCGGGAACCACGACTTGAGCTCTGGACAAGCACAGATGTACCAAGACAGTCAGCATCCCTGGAGTGGGGGGAAGCAGCACAATCACCGGCCTGGCAAGCACAAGGTCCTGAGTTCAATTCCCAGTACGGGGGGGAAAAAAAGAAGAAAAGAAAAACAAGACATTTGGAAACCTGGCAGGTCCACCCAACCCAGAAGAGGCTCAGGGAACTTGTGGTGGGCTGGGGTCAGGCGTGTGTGTGACGAGGTAGAGCTGTGCTCCTGAGACTGGCTTCCGCAGCAGCCTGGTGAGTGTGTGTTGGCTCCAGGTCCACTGCGGCTATCAGCTCAAGATGCAGAACAAGGCTCAGGCTTCCCATCTTGTGGCGAAAACCCCTTTTAAGGCGTGCCATGGCGGCACCATTCCCCAGCCACCCGCTGGGGGCATAGGGTCCCTGGTGGGTGGTGGGGAGCCTGCATGCCTCAGGCACTCATTCCACGTCCCTGAGCTCTGCCTGTGAGTGGCGCCTCTGCTCCTTAGTCCTGCAGCTGGCCGAGTCTGGCGTCCCCATCTCTAGCCTGATCCTGACTGGGGAACAGTCACCCGTTAGGGCTCAGGTCCAGACTTCGCAGTTTCTCCTTCCCAGAAGAACTGGCCCTGCCAGGCTGGGAACCCCTCTACTACTGCTCCTGGCCTTCAGGTGGTAGTGTCGGCCGCCCATTATGAACCCAGTGGGTCAGCTGAGATTTGGAACCTTGAACCCCAGAGCTGATACCCTGACTTTGCCTTCACTGCTTCAGAACCAGGGGCAGCCAGGGCAAGTGTGCAGATGTGCGAGTCGGAGGCATTTCTATGGGGATTTTGTCGTTTGTATACAGATTGTTTCCCAGCCTTGCCTGTGCCACGTCTTACTGTTCTGTGATTTTTCTCTGATTCAGTAGCCAGGCCTTCACACTGGGGTGCCATTGCCTCTCCCGGGCCTGCCTCCTCTCCCGGCTCGGCACTTGGGGGTTTTCTGACACTCCCTTCCCACCATTTTCTGAACTTTAGAGCTCTGAGCAGCTTGCCCTCCCTCTGCCCACTGATCCCTTGGGGAACGATCAGGGGCATCTGTTTCTTGAAGGGTGTTTCCAGGATTGGACAGCAGGGGGTGCAGACGCTCACCTCGTTCCTGTGCTGCCTTAGCCATGACCCCTGGTGCTCAGACACGCAGAGACTGTTCCCTAACCACTCGCTGGGTGGGGCTCTGCCGCACCCCGGAGGAGCCAGCTTCCTCTGCCCCTGGCCAGTCTCCCCAGCTGGAAGGTTGGGGCAACTGGTCTGCAGCCAAGGGCCAGGACGGCATTGTGCTGGGAAGCCCAGAGACCACCTTTTGGTTTCCCTAAGTTCGGGTTGCTGGAGCCAGGTCACCCACAGCCTGGGGCAGAGCCAACATCCGGGGGCAGGCTGTGCCTCGCCAGGGAGCCCGGCCGGGTGCTGAGGGTGCAGGTCTGGTGCAGGCCCAGAGCCTTGGCCCCCAGAGCTCAGTCCCGCTCCTCCCCCTGTTCCATCTACTCAGAATTCCCCCTTTCCTCCCTCGCAGGTCTGTGCAGACTTTTGCAGACAAATCAAAACAAGAAGCTCTTAAGAACGACCTGGTGGAGGCTTTGAAGAGAAAGCAGCAATGTTAAACCTCTGCTTCGCGCTAACGGCCACGCCATGCCCTCGTTAGGTTCCTTTCTTAGAAAACTCATTTTCTGCTCCCTGTCCCTCGTCACTCCCCTCCCTGACAGGTCACATAACAACTTGCATCGTCGACCTCCCGCACAGCGCCATCTCTCCCTGAGAATAAAGCCCGATAACCACCCCGTCTGGCTCCGAGGCCTGCTTCCCACCACGTTTTGCTATCAAAACTCTCGGTATTTCCATAGAAACCGTGTGTTTTTTGTTCACCTGGGCCCCGTCTCCCCCACCTCCATTTATAGGCATAAAATACACTGTCGTCCTTCCCACCTTTTTGTTACATTGGTGTAAAAAATGTAAAACAAAAAAATTTTATGAAATAACTGTGGTGTGTGAAAGATAGAAGAAAAACTGATTCCATGTGTGTTTGGGAGTTGCTTGGGGTTGGGGGTCGGGTCGGGACGGGGCAATGTGGAGGAGGGAGAGCCGGCCCTCAGCGACGTCCTGTCCCGCGCAGACCAGACCCGCCCGGCCCTGCGCAGCCGCAGCCGCAGCCGCAGCCCACGGGGAGGGGCGGCGTCCTGCTCTTCTGGCCAGGTGCTTTTCTGTCAATTTTTATGGAATGCAAAAGGAGTTTTTTGTTTTATTTTGTTTTTTTGTAAAGCTTAAAAAAAATAAATCTACATCTTATACTTGAGCCTCCATACTTAAAAAAAATGAAAAGAACAAAAAAATAAATAAAAAGAAACTGGGACGCAGCGCTGGCCTTGTGTTCTGTTTCGCTGACCTCACTCCTAGAGTGCAGGGCCTCAGCGCGGTGAGGCCGGGGGGACCTCGGAGAGGGGAGCTGGCCGTCGAGTAGCCGAAGGTAAGCAGGGCGCTGGGACGGGCGGGCGTTACACTGGCGTGCTTCCCTTGCCCACCTGCAGGGTATATCAGGTAGAAGTAAGGTCCCTGCGCCCCGTTACCCTCTGCCCTGCTTTTTTTTTTTTTTTAAATTTCCCCCAGGGCGCACCATGCCCAGAAGTACTGCAGTACCAAGTGGGCGTGTGGGGTGGATGGAGCAGCTCATGTCTCTAAGCTCTTAGAGTCCACATACCGTCCTCTGGCAGAGGACGGGTCAGATACTGGATTTAGCTCAGCGGTACAGCGCCTGCCTGGCAAGCGCAAAGTCATGAGTTCGATTCCCGGTACCGGAAAAAAAAAAAAAAAAACGGAAAAAAAAAACCAACGTGCCACATTTGACCAAAGTGTAACTGCAGGACCACAAGGGCAGGGGGGCTATCACCTCCCGCTGGGTGCTGCTGTGTCCGGCCACTTGCCCCTCACTTCACAGCGGAAACGGGAAGAAAGGCTGCAAGCCCCAGGTGCCGCGAAGCTGGGCTTTCTCTCCTGAAGCAGGTCTCAGAGTGCCTGCCACACCCTGCCCAGCTGTCCCATCCGCCTCCCGGGGCTTGCTTACTATAGATAAAAAGAAACTGGGATGCAGTTAGCGCTGGCCCTGGGGTGAGGCCCCCAGCTCCCGGTCCTGGCTTCTTGGTCTGAAGCAACATGTCTTGGAATGTAGACCAGCGTGGGACAGAGAAATAGGCAGCGGGGGGCTGGGGTGGGGCCCCACGCAGAGCGCTTGCCTGGCGTGTTGCGTCCTAGCGCTGTAAAACGCAAACAGAACAAGAGAAACCTCCCACTCACAGTTCCTGTCCGTACCCAGGGGATTGCGCGGCTCCTGCTACAAACTAAAAATAAAAATATATTTTAAAAAATAACCCAGTTGATGGATCACAAAAGTACTGGTGGAAACCATGATTGGAAACGCTGGAGAGAGGCGGGCCTGGCGTCTGCGCTGCTGCGTGGGCGGTGAGGAGGCAAACGCATCGAGCCGTTTCCTCCCTGGGCCCTGGGAGAGACGCCGCAGCTCACAGGCTTGCATTAGCACAGCGCCCGGCACACACGAGGCACGCAACGAGTGCGTTTTTCTGTATGTAGCATGCTATCGTGTGACCAGAAAAAACTTGAAACCCCCAAATTGTGACATACGACGGGCCTGATCTTGCTCTGCCTACTGGAGTCCTCACGGGTCATCACCGCTGGTTTTCTGACGCTGAGTCAAGCCAGTGAGATGGGGACAATAGGCCCTGATGGGGCTGTGGCAGGGCTGGGGATGTGGCTCAGGGACAGAGGGCTTGCCTAGCATGTGCGAGGCCCTGAGTTCAATCCCCAGGACCACCAAAAAAAAAATGAGGGGCAGCAAGGTGCAAGTAGCCAAAGGCAAGAGCCCGTAGTGTGGCTCAGGGCCATCTTGTAGCCTTCTGTCACCTGGCTACTCCTGTCGCTGCTTCTTTGTGGAGGCGGGCAGGACCCCTGGCACATCAGGAGGGAAGGGCCGCCGAGGAACCGGCCTAGGGCCCCCGAGGTGGGGAACAGCAATAGCCCTCCGGCTCTGTGGGCTGTGGGCGACAGGCTGCTGGGGTTTGGCAGCAGCGGGGCATGTCCCCCACCCCATGGGCTCAGCAGGTGCCTCCTGGAGGTGCCCCTCATGCCAGTAAACAACAGGAGGCAGCTCTGGGGACAGAGCAGGGGCAGGAGCCCCGGGCCGGGAGCCAGGAGCCTGCCTTTCGGTCTGAGCCTGTGCAGACCCGTCTGGCACCCTGGGGCTGTCCACGCACTCTCCCCAGATGGGGGCGGCTCGGGTGGATCATCAGGGGACCTCATCTGTCCACTGCCACACCCCTTCGGTAGCCCTGCAGGGAAGTTCTTCTGGACCCCTCGGTTCCTTGTCCCCAGCACCTTCGTGGTCATGCAGCTCCATTCCCTAAGCAGCTGGTCACCGAGAGTGCAGGCCCTGCCACTGCAGGGTGGCGAGGCTTCGGGGACACCGGGGACATGGATGTGATGCCCCTTTGGTGGCCCTTCATTCCCCAAGGGGCACCGCCAGGCGGGTGCAGATGGCCTCTCCTCAGAGACCCTGGTCCCCGGCAGGGCTGCTTCATCCTCACCGCTGCCCGGGGCAGCCCGCGTTCCAGACCCACTGCTTCCCATTTCCCTGCTGTGATCAGCTCGCAGCTGTCACTGCTTTCTGAGTTGCTTTTGGTAATCAGTGAGCCCTAAAGAGGCCAAGGACTGGCTGGTCACCAGGCCCCAGGCTGGCCCCAAACCCTCACAGGCCAAAGCAGCAAGTGGGGCTTCTCTCCCCTAATCAGATCCACAGGGGGCAGCCAGGGTCCCAGCCCCCATCTGCTTCACCCCACGGCCTGGATCTGCCCACCCCACCACCCCCAGCTGCTGTCTGTCCATGCCCAGGAGGCTCCTGGTGCCCACCTCTGGATTACAAGAGCTGGTGCGGTTTTCTGCTCCCTTCTGCAGTGGTTCGGGGGAGGGTGGGTGTTTGGGTGCCAGAGATCGAACCCAGGGCCTGTGCAAGCTAAGTATACCCTGCATCCCTGAGCTACATCCCCAGCCCCTGTGACCGTTTTTTAGCTTCTACAGCAGTCTGAAAACTCAGTAAGTATGCTTCATTCCTAAGAGTATTCTACACTGTATGAATATTACGAGCTAAACATTACATAAGTGGAAGTTGAAACATCTCCCTTTAGTTTTTCTCTGTATAATTTAAGATTCATAAATGCAGGAAACTAGATTACTTAATCATGTGTTGTCATGTGGTTACTTCCCCCAAAACGTATCCACATAGCTACAAATATTTTGAGTGAGAACTGTGGCAGTTTTTTTGGTTTTGTTTTTTTTTAAGATGGGATCTCTATATGTCACTAAGGCTCAGCTCAAATTCTTGGGCTCAGTTGATCTTCCCGCCTCAGCCTCCTAAGCAGCTGGGACTACAGGGGTGTGCCACTGTGCCTGACCTTGTTACAGATTTTGCAATTCGCTTTGTGACCCTTTAGGAAGCACATGATCTATTAAATAATTAGTTGTGGCTGGGGGATTGTTTTTCGATACAGGGTCATACTATGTAGCTCAGGCTGGCCTTGAATTCACTATGTAGCCCAGAGTGGGCTCAGACTTGAAGTGATCCTCTTGCCTCAGCCTCCAAAGTGCTCGGTTCACAGGTATGCACCACTAGACCTGGTTTAAATAGTTTTTTAGAACAAACTGACTGGTGCTCTTTTTGTTTTGTTTTGTTTTATAGTTTGGTTATAATTTGTATCTCCCTGTTATAGTTTGTTTCTAGATGTCTCCCCAAAGCCTCATGCAGTCATGGGTGCAGGCTTCTGTAGTTTGTAGCTGATTCATCGTTTAGTGCAGAAATTATGGGTGTGAGTGCTACACCCACCCTGTAGCCTACATACAACGTAAGGGACAGAAATTCTCTCATGCTCATCCCTTTTTGCTCTTGTTGCTTTTACTGTCTTCCCCCGCCATGAACTGTTGCCCTCTGCCATGTGCCACTCTGCCTTGGAGTCAGCCGAGTATGGACTGAAACCTCCACAACTTGTAAGCTAAATAAACCTTTCCTTCCTTAATTGTGGGCATTGGGTATTGGGTATTTTGTCTCAACAATGAGAGAAAAGTAACTAAGACATTCACCTACTTGTATTCCACTTACCTTCTAAAAATTTTTAAAAATATAAACATTGTTTCATATAAACTCATAACGAAATTAAACTTGTGAGATAGATTTAATTGTGGTATAATATTGTAAGGTCTTATTTGGTTTTTTGTTTTTGGTTTTTTGAGACAATGGCTTGCTATGTAGTTCAGATCGGCCTTAGCCAGAGGTGGTGGTGCACACCTGTAATCCCAGCACTCTGGAGGCTGAGGCAGGGTGATTGTTGTGAGTTCAAGGCCTGCCTGGGCTACAAAGTGAGCTCAAGGCCAGCCTGAACTGCGTAGTGAGACCCTGTATCAAAAAGACAAAAATAAAAACAAAAAACACAGATTGAACTTGAACTCAATACATAGCCCAGGCTGCCCTCGAACTCAAGATGATCCTCCTGCCTCAGCCTCCCAAGTCCTAGAATTACAAGCATACACCACCTCTCCTGGCTACACTTTCTATTCTTAATTTCTGCTTACACTGATACACACTTTGACATCACTGTCTCTACCTCTTTTGTGAAACTCTCCAATTTGGAATAGTTGTCCCATAAATGCTCTGCTGGGTGGACAGGCTTACAAAACACATCCATACACTGTTTACCCCTTTAAGCCACCTAGTGAATGAACCGTGACTTCTCTAGCAGCTGACTAGCTACAGGGTCCTCCTGCACAGCTGGCGTTCCCATTACTTTGGACTGGATATGAGTAGAAACACAAGCTGTGGGCCAAGGATATAGCTCAGTGGCATAAGCGCCTGCCTGGCAAGCACAAGGTCCTGAGTTCGATTCCCGATACTAAAAAAAAAAAAAAACCACAAGCTGTAATTATATTATTACTCTTAACTTCCCTTTTTAAGTTTACACGCAATGCATTCCACAGTTCTAGGAAAGATGGCTGCGTTTATGCTCGTGGGGAAGATGGCTGCGATTGTTCATCACCCGATGTGGAGTTTGCAAACAGAAGCAAAATTTTGCCAAACGTTTCTGTTCACGAACTGAATTGTTCACAAACAGAAGCATTTGTGAACTGAGATACTACTGTACTTACTAGCTAACTTGATGTTTGCAAAGAGCTTCATTGAGTGTGAGTCACATACCATGCACTTCACCCAGGTCACATGTACAGCTCAGTAGTTCTG